TATCGGAAGTTGGTGATTACCCTTTATTTTGAAGCAGTTCACAATACTTTCTGTTTCTTTTGAGTAGCATGTTCCGACAAACAGACAGCCGCAACTGGAAAGTGCGATCGATATTCTTTCGGTTGCGGGATCATAAGAATGACCTCACAGTCATATGTACGTAGTTAGGTTATTAGATTATTATCCGGCTTCTTCTAAGGACCACCCTTTGACCTTCGTCTAAGCAATTGCGGGCAACAAGGCCGTGGTGTATTAGTGTGTCGTTACCGGTGTCCATAGAAGCTCATTCGATGTGTGTTCGGCTCAGGAACTCGTACACACCTGCTGCCCGAATAGATTACCTTTGCAGTTTAAGGATGGGACAACAGTTCCCGATCACCCACTGGTAGCTGTCGCCACACGCCATCTCACCGCAGTTTTAATTTTTCGCTTACGTACAACCAAGGAAAAGGGAAGCGGCCAACCTAAGGGGCACTACAGTCACTCTCCTGTTATGTCGCACCCTTGGGGGATTCGAAAAATTGGGTAAATTCCAGGAACTGCGACAAAGCTTGCTATTCAGTAGTATATGCCATTAAGTAGTATAAAAAATCGGTTGGGGACTTTGTGATAAAATAAACGGGATTGATGAAAAGTACGACAATTCAGTTACCTCTTCTCAATGTTTATAATTAAGTACTGTTTTTTTTTATAACGGAATATGCCGCAATACGCCGTCCTGCTTATTCTTTATGTATCGAACAAATTGAATTCTTTTACTGCTCTCAGTGCAATATTAGAACATTGCAGTCCTCTTTCGGTTTCATGTGTCGGCTTTCGACTCTATCGATCGCCCCGCACCATGGAACTGTCTGCGGAGATACGGAGTACCCGAGAAGTATGCCTCACTCCTAAAAGCGCTCTATCACCAGACCTCGGGGAAGGTTAGGGCCTATGGTGAATTTTCACCCTCATTTCCTGTCATCAGTGGGATACGACAGGGTTGCCCTATCTCTCCGTTTCTCTTCAACTTTGCCATAGACAATGTCCTACAAAACGCGTTACATAACGCAGCGAACGCTGGCGTCGAGCTTCTTCCTGGAGACAGAGTCGTAGACTTAGAGTACACCGATGATATTGCCTTACTAGGTGACAACGCACCAACGATTGAAGAGTCGTTGAACCGTTTGGCAATTGAGATTACTCGCTATGGCATGTCATTTGCACCTTCAAAGTGCAAAGTGTTGTTGCAAGATTGGCAGAAACCCATTCCTGCCTTTTCATTGGATAATGACACTCTCGAAGTAGTCTAAAGCTTTGTCTACCCGTGAGTTGCATAATGGCTGGCGGAGGTGTGGGCGAGGAAACCTCTCAACGCGTGATCAAAGCTAGATTAGCGTACGTACCGAAGTCAGTGGCGCGAATGCATCACCTCTTGTCTACAATCCCAAAAATAAATAAAAACGAAAAAAATCTCAAAATGGCGTGCACTAAACAAACAAAACTTATTGTTACTCCTCGAAGTTGACTGTTTTATTATCCCCGTTTTTGTACCTTAATTTTTTCGTTCGCCTGTGGTTATCTTTGGCGCTGTATCTGTAAAGATTGGTGTAAATAATAATAAATAAAATCTTACTCCACGTATCCGCTTACTATACCTTTTTCAAGTTAAGATGTCCGAATATCAGTTTAAGATGTCACAGTATCAATTTAAGTTGTCATATTGCTATGTGGATGGTACCTTGCACAGTACAGGGTAAAAACGTGAACTCAGTCATGTCGTGATGACGCAACAAGGCGTCACAAGTTGCACGTGAAAAAGGCCATCGGGAATTTTCAGAAATGACCTTATTCCCCCTCGCCCTGCGCTGAACCCAGTTGAACGCGCATTGAGTGTGATCAAATGGAGAGTCAGATAAGGGATGCGTGAGCAGTACAGTGTATCACTTACGGGTGTCCCTTCTGGCTTGATGTTAATGCGCGAATGGCGCATGCAATGCCTGGAAGAAGTCTGCCGTGGAGCGGAGATACTCGTGCCAGCAGTATGTTGGAAAAATCTCGCGAGACACGTCACAGATTTGTACCCGAAAGTCATCCAGCTGAAAGGTTTGATTATTTCCATTATAATAAGCATTTTTACTCTTCCTTTTTTGTTGCTTTTTCGCAATTATTATGCGCATTGTTTTTTTTCTCCTACGGAATTCCATCTCCGGCGTAGTTAGCGTAAACGTTCAACGCGAAAAAAGCCAGTTGGAAAAATACCAAGAGTTTTGCTTTGGCCTGTGTTAGTGGATATTGTAGTCCATACTCAAGACGAATTCAAAGTTTTATCCTGCTTATCGGTTTACGGAACCCGCTTAGAAAAATAGTTCGTGTACCTTAGACGAGTCAAACGCTGGCCCAGTGTCATCATCGCTTGAGTATTTTCCGTTCCGAACTTTTCACAAGGCGTATCGTTCCACAACTGATTCTCTGCCCACACTTAAGCAGCATTAGATTCAAAACTTATCCTCCTCCTAAGCGGGCCCGAAAATTACACGACCGATCGGGTTCATTTATCGATTAGTCGCATAGTTCAGCCTCAACAAGGGACTTGGTTCTTGCCCATTTTCCATAGTATGTGAAATCAATCGCCATGCTGCGTCATCACGATGTGAATGTGTTCACGTTTTCACCCTGTACTGTGCAAGGTACTGTCCACCTAGGAACGTGACATCTTAAATTGGTATTCCAACATCTTAGGTTGTTGATAATGCGACATCTGAAATTGAAAAGGTTTAGTCAATGGTGATTTTTCACGTGAGTGAGACAGAACTCATCGGTAGACCGAATGTCCGTAGCTGCCGTGATCGCTGCAGCAAAAGGGATCAGGTTGGAGTGCCCCACAGAATTCCAGAAAAAAGCTGTGCAAATTAAAACGATGTATCTTTTATCCAAACATAAGTCGTCATTTGTCTCAGCTTGGCTCCTTAGAAAATCAACAAACACGTTGTTTAAATCAATTATACACCCTAGTAACCGACGAAAAATCCGGAAATCAGTCAAGACAAACGGCTACTACTGATCTAGTAACTTTTGTGCTACTCTAATTGAGATAACTTCAGTAAAATTCACTGCTTCACATTCATCTTTTGTGCGATGCTTGACTTGATTTGAAAGGAATTTATCTAAGGATTAAAAAAGAGATTTGATACACGAATTTTAAATAACCCAATTCTTGATCATCCAAGCAGGCGATTCCCCATCTGGCGGCAAAATCGGCTGATCCAATGTGAGTTTGAACCCAGCTTTTATAAAAGCGTTGATCAGTATGTGCGGATGCACAGACAGCCTCATTAACCAGGTGCATACCGATAAGGATGCCCATTTCGACTTTCATGCTAAATTGCTCATCTTCGATCAAAGACAAAACATGTGTCAGTAAATGTTTGTGAAACGAATATTTGAAACACCAAATCACACCCCGATCCACTGGTTGTAATATTGAATATCAGTTTGAAGGCAGTCGTACTAATTTGACATTGGAGTATCCTGCGGCTTTGTTATGACAAGTGGCGTCATCAACACAAAGTAAAATAGATCGTCTTCCAGAAACCATCTTGCTGTTGCCATTGGACATCCAACTGTGAAATAACGCAGAAGTTATCCGTTCTTTCTTTGAAGATTTATTACTGCAGGGAAGGCTTTCTTCATCTATACCTTGGAGGCAGTGTGGAGTTTGAAATTTTCCAATGATCAGCAATGAAAACTTTTCTCCAGTCATGCTCCTATAACGCAGTAACTTGACAGTTTCTTCGAATTTCTCAGATCCGGAAACTGTTTTTCCTTTGGGACAATGTTCTTTTTGAGAGCTATCTGCTATACAAAGCTTTTTCATCGGCAGTAAAAGTATCACAGTTGGCGTTTCTATTGATCAACTCCGGTAACCGCGCTCGAACACATCCACTGTATCACATGGTACCGCCAAACTGGCTCCAAAAACCTAAAAAGATGTGCGCATGAGTAATTACTTATCTCTTACTTTGTACAATTGAATAATAAATCTGTCTGACCAAGAGCCAAACCAGCCTTTGAAAGCCTTGAAGTCACGATGATGCATTCTTTGCGCTTGCTGTTGTCTCCTTACGAACGACGCTCTCTACCGTTAGGGACTCACTGTGCTTTTCTCTTATAGCAGTAAACCGAGTCAAGGTCGCCTCACAAAATTACTTGAACTTTTCGTTGGTTTTCGGGTGGCCTATTTCCTGAGATACTCCAGCGTTCACCGATTCTCTAATAGTCGTTCGATGGGATATAACATTGTGAAGGGCTTTCCTCGAAATACCTGGTGACTTTGCTACGGAGCTCTGAGTTGCATCTGACTGATTCAGCATTTCCAACATTCTGCTTCTCTCTGATCGATAGGCGCTGACACATTTTCAAACCAAGTGACACTATTTTCGATTATTGTCGTCGGTGCCTCTTCATCACAAAGATTATCCAGCCAATAAACAGTGTCATATTCGCATCACACTAGGTGAAACGTAATTGGCTGAATGCTACGTTGCAGGTTAGTTGGTCAACGGCCGTCCCGAAAATTGATCAACGACCAAGTGTGTATCAGGAACTGCGACATATTGAGAGGGCGACATTGCATAATTAGAAACTACAGTAATACGCCTACGGTTGGTTTGGGTTTTCTGAAATTGGAAAGATATGGGAAATGTGACTTCTCAGGGATATGACGTAGCTGCTGATTGACTTTACAACTTAACCCTCCCCCGTGCTTCGCATTTTCAAAGTGCGAAGTGATTCTGTAAGACTGGGGTCTACTACCCCAGCAGCCCAACAGCATTAGCCTACTTATCACTTCTTATCACACCATAGTGTTTAAAACGTTTATGGACTCTGTGTGTTGATCATTGTTCAATTTCTTTTATGTCTCTCCGTCTCAAAATAGTCCTCTAGCCCCCTTACATTTTATTACTTGCTTTCCATAACTTGTGAACTTGGCTTTACTGAGTGCAGTTCGCTAAATCATAGTTTAGTATATTATGTTGAAGGTGTCAAAACAGTCAGAGGGATGTCTACTTCGTAGTACGGTAATCCATATGTTCTTCTGCTCTTTTGAGTTTACCTGATGCATACCAAAGTGCTGGTTTTATGGCGCGCATTCGGGATATTTGTACCAGGAAAGACACGACAGTTTTCTTGTCTTCTGTTCCACACTTTGAATACGCGAGACAACAAAACAACTTCCAGGAAATGTGAAGTGGTGGTCGATTGTTTATGGCCATTTAAACGGCAACATGCGGGTCTTGAGTTCTAATCCCGAAACCACCGTCCATCTTCCCCATTTCGGTATTTTCCCCATCTACTTTTGATTGACCGCAGATTACTCAATGAGAACGATTGGGTCCGACGGCTAACACTCTTTTTCGTGTTCAGTTGCAGTTACTATTGTGATTATTACGGAGCAAGTGTGAAAAAGGGTAAAGTGAGACAATTTGGGACATTGCCATACTTCGTTGGAGCATCATCCTCGTCGAGGTTTTCTCAATATGATCAATTCAGCCGGCTGTATCGACATTAGGCCTGTCGACTCCTACATCAACTGGGCAACTACTGCTGGTTGACATCAGTCCGCCATCTGAAACGGAGGTTTCCAGGGAAATAAGCTATCTCAAAAGATATAACACCTCCGGCCATGATGGGCTGTCCCCATCGGTTTTTAAGGATGGTTCAACCTTGGTTTTGGATTTGACGCAACTCCTCGGTTTCATAGGAGAGAGGGAACAAGTTTCAACTGAATGGTAAGTATAGGTCATTTTACCGATTTACAAGGAAGGCGACAGATTTTCTTGTGAAAACCGCAGAGGAATTAGTTTAATCAACATGATCTCTAAACTTATCGCAGGCATCACACTCCGTCGATTGTCTGCCGCATGTGAATGGCGCATGCGTGAGAATCAAGCTAGTTTAAAACCCGGTCGAAGTTGTATAGACCACATTTTCACCCTCCGCCAACTTTCGGAACACAGACACCAGTTTCGTAGACCCACCTCGATCTGAAAACGGCTTTCGACTCAGTCAACCACTGTAAAATCTGCTTCTCTCTAAGGGGTGTGCCCGGAAAGTTTATTTTTAATTTTGCGATCTCTTTATACTAGTAGCTAAAGCCGGCAGGAGCTTACGCCACTCTTTCGTCTGAGTTCATCACGGAAAGTTATGCTCGCCATGGTTGCCTTCTCTCCTCAATTCTATTTAACGTTATGGATTTGACTATGGAAACAACTCTGTCCCTGCGAGAGGATAGTACCAGGTGATAGATTGTCTGATCTGGAGTATGCGAACAACATTATTCTGGTAGATGAAGATCTGGGTAAGTTACAAGCGTTGCTGTTTAGTTTGTGCTAGTGTAGCTATATTCGGCGTGCGTTTTGTACCTTCCAGGTGCAAGATGTTACCACATAATTGGGTCGGTCCAGCTCCTAACCTCAGTCTTACTGGAGAAGTGATAGAGCAAGTAGACAAAGTTTGCTATCTGAGCAGCTACATCTCAACCGGCGGACGTATCACGGATGAAGTATAGGTTCGATTGACATTTGTCGCGTCGTCGCGACACACGGTTATCTGTGAAGGGTCGAGTGTATGCTGCACCAGTTCGGTCAGTTGTGCAGTACGGTGCAGAAACCTGACTGATATGAAAACAAGATACAGATAGACTGTGTGTGTGTGTACTTGAAAGAAGTACTCCTCGTATAGTCGTTTCATTTCATTTTAAGACAGTCCTTTATCCCATGATTCCCTGTCTTTCTATGCTGACAATTTCCGATCCTGGTTGCTGAATTTCAAGGCAGTATGTCGCCTCATGCAAATTGCAATTTGACGCAGATCAGAGAATGACGTCCATCAAGATCCACACTTGACTATTTAGAATAGATCTTATAAACATGATCGAATGCTGAATTCTTTAGAAAAACCGCGTTCATGAGAAACCACTTGGTCGAAAGCATATGAAATGTCTGTTACTGTGTATACGTAATACAAAGTTAATTCTTATCTATGCTTCGAGCTTCCATTGTTCACTGTGCAATCTCTTCGTATTTTTCCGGACAGGAGGGGGAGGGTGTACCGTAGTGGCCATCCACGGCTTTCTTTTCTTTCACTAAGCAGAATATCGGTGCTCTAGGACTGCAAATTTTCTTGTTGTAATGTAAGGATTCATAACAAGAATGAAAACAAGTTTACAGCGATTTCATGGTTTTCGATGGTGAGTTAACAATAGTAAAACTGACCATATTTTTTCTCTCAAATCAACGTCAATCGTTTATTAATTAATTAATTTAATTTTCATTTCCTCCCATTCCAGTTTGTTTGGATTTTCTAGCATCCAAGTTGTTTACCTGCCCCCCCCCCGTTTTTCCCAGTAAAAACTAAA